ATCGTGCTGAAAAATCCATCGCATCCGGGGCACATGACATTTATTCGCAAGATGGAACATTAATAATGGAAAGTCGAGTATCGTATTCGAAGTGCGAGTTGATTAAATTCACGACTTCTATCGCATAAAAAATAGTATCGTGACCGAGATTCAATAATGATGCAGCTTCCTCTCATTGTGCATGATAATGCATGTACAAAGACGATAAATGTAGAGACGTCTGATTGTGCTCCACTTCACCTTAATAGCGACGAGATATAGAGAAGACACGCTTCCCGAAACGAACGATAATGCAAAGGCGGCTACTGGGTATTTACACCCACGGAACATCAAAGAGCATAATGGCACGTGCGCTGACCCGTTTGCCTCAATAACCGCATCTGATACGCGTTACCTTGGAATTTAATTTTGTTCCGGCGTAATGGACGTGACGATCTCGCGTTCGCTTATGACCATAGCAGATTTCGTACACGATACAATTATGTGTACCTATACAGGCGTAAAATCCAGAAAATAAGATTTCGAGAAGATCGTCAAATCAGAAATCAGAATCTATTGTACGGAGAATTTTTTTAAAACTAAGATCTTACAAAATCCAAGATTATGAAAATAATAAAATTATTTTAAAATACATTTTTATAAATCATGTTTTACATCTATTCAACGCGTAACTGTTATCAATTAAAACGTTATTGAAAAAGAACTTTATTAATTTTTTAAGCACAAAAGCTTTAGAGAACAATACAATAATATATTTAAAATTGTATTCACGTGCCTGTATTTACGTGATAATTCGTATGCAGTGCGCACGATTTCGACCCCAAAATGTATATGTTAGAAGGTTAAACAATGCAATTTCTGTCACGCTATAGCGCCGGCAAGGAGAGGATTGATGACTCCCGTCGGTATCATCAGGTACACACACAATTTGCATTTTTGTTCTCAGCCCTGGGGCTCCTTCATCTTCGTATCCAAATATCATAACGCTCCGAGGAGTGTTTTCGATGCAATTCACGCGAAAGAATACGCGGCCGAAGACACTGCTCGGAAAATTGGAAAGCGGAGGGAAAGTTACTGTTCCTCATCTTCCGATATCTCTCTCCGTCTTCCCGAAATATTACTTTTCATTCTGTCTCCTCGACGTCGACATTAAAGTAGTTGCAAAACCGGCAACCCTACAGCTCCAAAATAGGTTTTGTTATTCTGTCATGTCCACAGTTATTCCTTCAGGGATGAAATATTAAAAATGTTTCTTATAAGGCGTAATTAAAACGTGAGTGAAACGATAAATATTAATTAAGAAAATAGTTCGTAATTATAGCGGATACTATTTAGGAATTAAGCTCTGAATTCGGGATTGTTCGCAATAGTAAAGAAGTTTTTCGAGTCATATTTTTACAAGATGCCAATTTCTTTATCACACGCATAATTTTGATTATTTAATTATTGATAAATCAAAATTGCCATTTTATTCTATACATATTTTTATTCTTACATCTTTTATTTTATCTTATGTTTAAATCATACATACATAAAAGTATTTTCCTGATTATTAATTCCCTCGATAATTTATAAATCGTGTTTGCATCGAATAGGCTTTATTCATTCATTACATTTTGTCAAAAATGAATAGGATTACAAAAAGATAAAATTATAACAAAGGATGCTAACTCTTCAATTTTGTGATATCTCTTTGTTTCTGAACAGAATTATGTGAGGAAAGCTACACTTTTTACTATGTTTAATTTTACTCTATAGATAAACAAAATAAATTTATCGCATTGTCCAGTGGATATTCGGGGAGAATTGAAAAATAAAACAAATTCGTTTTTTATAATATATCAAATAAATTCATTTTAAGCAGTATTCTGATATTTGTATTTGTTTTATGCACTGCGTTCTAATTTTATTGAACTGTCAAAAAATATACGGACGGTTTTCTCTTTTTCTAATTTAATAAGAAGATCGAGAGAGAAAGACGAAGAGAGAGAGAGAGAGAGAGAGAGAGAGAGATCTTTTTTAGAACGCAAACTATTAGGTTTTGTTGGATGATTTCACATACACATTTGCAATATCATCTGTTCGTTAGATGTTGCAGCCATATTTTTTCTTTTTTTTACCCAAAAAGATGTCGGCGTGTTTGATTTATTTCTTCACGCTACAGCCAGCGGAATTTTCACGCTCTGAGATAAACTAGTAACGTTATACGAATGCATATCGATCCGTCTCCCGCTACAATGCATAAAAAGGTACGTCGTTGCAGTCTGTCTCATGCATCATATGTGTCCCTGCAGCTTTAGATGTCGATACGTTTTCATGTTTCGTTTCGAATCCTTCTATTCATCCGAGAGCGGATGGAAATGTAGAAGCGAGTTGCAACGTTTTATTTCATATACATATAGGATTATTTGCCGAAAAAAATATAAGAATTTTATTACTGAGATAGTATTTTTTCATAAATTGAGAATCAATCTGTTTAAGAATAATGTAATTACGAAATTATTCAACATTAATAATTGATGATTTAACAAATCAAGATCAAAGATCGTCTAGTTTCTTTTATTTATTTCAAGTAAATTTAAGAAATTTAATTATTTTAATACGTTAGAAATTTTCTACAATTATTTAAAAATTGTTTCATTGAAGCTATATGTAGATATTGTTCGTCTAATAATTTTGATTCCATATTGAAAATTGAAGGTGAGAAATATTGAAATTTGATTGAAACTCTTTATTAAGGAACAATTGATTGATTCACTCGGAAACATGGATTCATTGAAAAATATAATTGATTCTCATACTTTGGCACAAATATCGCGTACATAATATCGGTAATATAATGAAGAGAGAAATTATATGTATCCTCTTCGGAAATCGCATATATCGCAGATATTTTATTGATTGTATAACGGCATTTATTATATAAATGAATGACAAGAAAAATATTTCCATTGACATAGATATAATAAATAAGATTATGTCTAATAAGCCTTCTGAGTGTTCGATTTTATACTCTCTTCAATAACTTGGTACAGTGGATGAACGAGAATGGATAATCAGCTTATTTCGTCTCTGAATTTCCTTTTTGATGTCACTGTAAGAATAAAAACCAGAGATCTTTAATATTTCCTTCATTTCTTTTCGACTTCTTCGTACTTAAATGAAATATAGATTTCTCATTCGTTATTGAAGCGAAAAATATAATTAGTCGATAAGTATAATTTACTTATGTCTAATATTATCGATATTAGAATTCCTTTTGACGCCTTGAAATTGCAGCGTTAAATACATTTGAAAGATGTCATTAAGTATCAAAATAGATAATAGAAAGAGGAAGGAATGCACTCAGTCGATCCTTAATGGAACGTTAATTATAACTTTTGAACGTGTAATTCTCCTAAGTAAGTAGCTTTATGATTTTTCCAAGATATTAGATACATAATTCTTTCGCATAATAAAATTAAATGTCTGACGTAAAATCGCGAAGTAGTTTGTTTTCTTCTCAGTAACGCAAATTGTTTCCTTTGACTCTTTGTAAATTCTTCGCAATATTTATAAAATGGCTCTTTATGGGTATAAAAGTTACATCAGATGGAAAGGATAATTTCCGGAGTAATGCAATTTTTTTCTTTATGATATCGTAGCGTGTAAACATAGAGAGATGAAAAAAGAATACCTATTCTCGCACTTATATTACGCAGACATCTTCTCTTAGCATGACACAATTTTGCGTCATTCGGTATAAACAGGCTCGAAAGTATTAAGTACTTCGGAAATTACGTGCCTCATTTACCGTGATCAACGTTAAAAGTTATGCGTCTGATATCGACCGGTTCTCTCATTTGCGCAATTGCACTTATCGTGAATGCGGGGCAGAGAGCGCGAGCGTGTCTCGTAAAGCATAATGCTAGATACTTGCCGGGTGCTCTTTAGAAATCGGCTAAATGAAGCGACGAGGAAAGTGCATTTTTGCCCCGTATAATATTCATACTAGGATGGCGTTGTTTCAGGCGACAGATAGAGAGAGCTTGTCGGGAGTAAAGCTCGCGTCTCGCGGAAGAAATTTCGGGATTCCGGACGACGAGAGGAAAATCGCCGCGTTTTCGCGACATCTCGTAGATTCGCGAAGCACGGGCAAATTATGGGTGCTTTTCACGTAGCGTGGCTATTGCCACCCCTTTGTCGCGTACGGTTATTCCGGATTTTTTTACGAGGAAGAAAATGCCATGTAATATAAATTCGCGCATGCACCCTCGGAAATTACGACGTCAAGCTCGCGAAGCAAAGTTCTGTGTGAACTTTGGGTCATCTTCCACCTTGTCTCGTTGACGTGGAAAGGCACTACTGAACGCGACACAATTTTCGCGAAGAATCTCTGGAGGGTTTGACCGTACGATTCTCTCGACAGGCAATCGTCTCGGCTCAGATTGTCCCGCATTTTTATCCCGCGATATATGACAGCCGAGCTTGGGAGCTTATTAGAGCGGAAAGAAGTTCATCTCCCTGTCGGGCAAGCTCTGATGAGATTTTCTCACACAAAAATACACATAGTAAATACCGGATTATTCGATTGACCTGATTACGCGACCATCTCAGAAACTCCTCCCGGTGTTTTTGTACGCTCGGGTTTGGTCGACCATTATTTATCTCCGATTCGTTTTAAACTAGATAAAATGAAATATGATTATCTGCTATTTGTAGTTCGAAGAAAGTACGAGACAGCTGCAATATTTTGCATATTTATTTATGATGTTTTCCAAGTTATCGACATTCTATTTTTCATAGCGAGCCTTATATCAAGAATTAATTGAGGTTACTTAACATTTTGTATGACAAGGAGAAATTCAATAAAGATGAACTTATAAAAATGTGTAATTTTTCAAATACAATATCGAGGAGAATGTGCTGCTCTTTCATTAATATATAATTAAAAAATAATTATTCTAGATCACAAGAGCTCTATCGTGTTTTAAAGAACCTATTGTTTGCTTTTGTTACAGCTCGCCGGTTGAACGAGTACATCCGCCACTACGAAACGTTGTCATATCCAGTCGAGGAGGTCCATCGAAGTCACCTGAGGGCAAAGAGGTCAATCAATCGCGACAGTACCGTGACGTTGAAGTTCCGCGCGCACGGCAAAGACTTCCACATTCGATTAAAGCGAGATTTGACCACTTTTAGTAACAATCTAATTATTGAGGGATCTACGGGAGAGAAGCATTACGACAGCATCTCCCACATTTACCTGGGCAATCTAGTCGGTATGTTTACAAAGAAAAAATTATATTTGCACAAGACTTTCCATCAATCGCGCCTGTATCCACATCCGTTTCTGAAAATTTGTGATTATAATAGAATAATCACTTGATGTTTTATTCTTATATATGCGAGAATAAAACAATTATAAACGATAAAAAAACAAGGATCGTAAAATCACATAAGATATTTTTGTTTTGATTCTTTATATGAATTCTATTGATATTGATATTGATTCTACATTGATATATATATATATATATATATATATATATATATATATATATATTTCAGAACCGGATGCAAATTCAATGCACTCGAACAACAGCGCTGCTCCACAGAATTAATTATAATTGTTTCTATTTGGGGAACAAAAGCGTGTTTTTGACAACATCAACAAACGTGTTGGATTCAATGTATTTTTTAATAAAAGAAGGAATATATAGAATTAACATTAAACAAAATTAAAATTACGGCCATTCTCTCACAGTTTCCACTGCTATTTCAAGCTAAGCTTAAAATTACAATGTTCTTTTTAAGTACTCTTTCGAAATAAATGATGTATAGATTGCAATTGATAATGCAATATATGTCATCGAGTACATTACCTATTTGTCTTTTGTTTCTAACAATCATGCTATGTTTTCCAACTTTTCCTATTTCAATAGTATTCATAGGAGTTAAAAGAAAGTGCAGCTGTGCATAAAGTTGTGCGTGTATTATAGAGCACTAGAGGTCTATGACTTGAATATTATATTTTGCGTCGATGTACTTTTCCAAATATAGAGTCGCGGTATTATGATATCACACTAGCAATCTTCTCAGTGTCCTATATATTCACATAAACGATACCGTCAGCGTAAAGTTATGCGGAATCGATCGATAGCGATCGTTCGACCTGCTCGCAAAAAGCCGAGATAAAATTATGAGTTAGCTTATTTTATGTACGTAGTATGACACACAATCCTTTGAAAATAAAAATATCTGTTGCAGAAAAAATAATAGCATGCCATTGTTTGTACTTTTGGCATGCAAAAGTAATAAAAATAGGTTGCGTGTACGTTGAAAGAAAACAATGACTGTGAAAAATACTAGTAGTCAAAAATGCAAAAATGCTGATATCTTTCAATATATACATGTAAATAATATTTTAGTTGAATTTCATCATTTTATAACATTCATAATATCATTAATTTTACAATAGCATGAAAGTTTTCATTTAAAGATCCTATATAGAATGTTTTTTTTTTCGTTCAGAATTTAAACTGAAATAATGGTGTAATTATCTGTACGCGGTTTATTTGTTTTAGTATTAAACAATATATTATTTTCGCTTTATGCCAAATGGAGTCAGTTCTAATAGAATCTTAACGTGAAACTTAGTTTACGGAGATATTTATTATTCCAAAGTTGTAACAAAACATGGAATCTCTAATCAAATTTTCTGAAAGGAAAGCCACCGACTTCAAATTCATCGCAGGACGCGCTACTAAAGTTGAACCTTACGAGAGACACTCTGCATATTCTCAAAGAACTTTCGTCAAAATAAACTAAATGTAATAGAAGTACAGAGAAGTGCTCTCAACTATACAAACAAAGAGTCATACTTAAATTTATAACCGCGTTTGTCTGTTTGACCTCCACGCCGAAACATTCGCTTCATCATCGATGTGCATTCCGGTTGCATTCTGCGTTGTGAATGACTTTGACGAGGTGGTATTGTTTTTGGTGGAGTATATATCGCTTCTGTGCGACATTCCCCGGTAGCCAGGTGTGGCACGCAAAAGTGCGTGTCAGCGTAGATATCGGGTGGAACCTTTATTTCCAGTCTAATAATTTACGAGAACCCAGTATGCAGCCTATGCAGGCAAATGGAACGTTTTAAATTATGGATCAGGGTGAGAACAGTTTATCTCTCACTTGCTATTCGCGCCACGATCTTTCCTGTCGACCCGGTTATAGCTACGGTCTTTGTCGAATAATGCTACGAAGAGGCATACTTCAGTTCAGGATCAAAGAGTTCTAAAAATCGCGGGCTTAGTAAGCACTTCATCATTGTTAGCAAACTATTCGTATGCTTGCTTGATTTATGAAAAGTTTTTCCAACCTAAGCAAAGAATTTATTTTTAAATTATATTTTTTATATCAAATTTTTCAATAGTCGACAAAAATATTTAATTTTTATGTGGGTTTATTGTAAACCGGAATTCAAGATTTTATTACTAAAGTTTCTTAATTAATTTTGAAGAAAAATAATTTATTCGCTTTAAAAGCTCAATAGATGTATATATATTTTCTGTAGATAAAAATCGATCCCCATAATTATTATATAATAATATTATAACAAACTTTCTTCATTTGATATTTTTGAATGCATAAAGATTTAAAGAATATAACATATTAATATATACGTTCGTAGTTCGGAATTGGGAAAAAGAATTCGGAAGTGATGTTAGAGACTTGCTGAACATTTTTGGTATCGGAAACGAAAGATTCTCTTTATTCTTATGTCAAAAGGAATTCTGAATTATGATAAGCTCAGCTGTGCGCGGACGTGACTTCGCTTTCCTGCAATCTATTATCTAAAAGGAAAAAGGAATATGCGCCATGATGCTGCTGAATATTCTCTCTATTATTGTCGTTTATCTACCATCTGCAATACATTCAGATTTTGTCTGACGCTTTTAATAATTCAACTGTCCTTTTACATCTGGATCATTGGTTGAAAATATGTCGTAAAATATTTTCCATCCATATAACGTAACAATGACACGATTTGCTTTTTGCATTAAATTATATCTTTGTCGATAAAAATATATATTTATCAGTATTTTTTGTAAAGAGAGGTAAAATATTCGTTTCAGGATTTATTGAAAAAATTTTCGTATGAATAATATATGTTTTCTGTATAAATTCTCGAATTTTATGTAGCATGATAATGAAAAAAAAATTTATTTTATTCTGCAAATTATGTAATTTATTTTTTTTTGATGCATTAATTTTATCATTAATTAACATTTATATTAATTTTATCATTATTAACATTTATTTTATAATAGTGAAGAGATGTTTTAAATTCCTATTTTTTTTTAATTTATAATTACATCAATGTTTTATGATTAATATAAAATAATAATTATAGTTAATCTAAATTTTACAATTAAATCCTATTTCACTTTTCAATTTTTTTCATTTTTCTTGAGAAAGAGATGAAAAATATATTCGCTATAACTTTTTCTACGTGTATCTTGGTTAGCCGAGTAAATTAGACAGCGAAGCAGCAGCACATTGCTGTGTAAGCTAGTAATTTCTGGCACAGAAAGTTTTAGCGAGCGACAAAAGTTTCAACCATCATCGATACTTTTTCGAGCGAAGCGAGTTCGCAATCGTCCGTACGCGAACATGGTTTCGTACTCGCATGTACTGCCTATATCAAATATTTATGTTACCTCCATAACTCTCTTTGCTTCTAACTATAATAAAAGAAAAGGTTTAAACAAAAAAATAAATAAGGTGTGTGTGGTATTGTGCTTTAATTTTTTTTTGCTCTTTCATAAGATAACTAGATATAACGATTATATATTATATACGATGTATATTTACTTCTTAATAATGCTTATATATGCATACATTTTTTATTTTTTAAAACTTGACATGTAATCTTTTTCGTGTTTATATTTGTTATAATTATCGAATGCTTAATTTATAAAGCGAAACAATAAGTTTTTGAGAAAATTTTATAAAAATTCTCCCCCATTTTTTCTTCTATCTCTCGCAAGATACCTGTCTCCGATCATATATTTTCTACTTTTAGGTGAGCCTGGTAGCCATGTGTTCGGAAGTGTCAGTGATGGAGTCTTCCACGGGAAGATAGTATCACCGAAGAGTGGTGCGTGGTATGTGGAAAAGGCGCATTACTATTTTCCGCCGCACGAGATAAACGAGACATTGCATTCTGTGATCTATCACGAGGATGACGTCGGTGATCCGTACGTGAACGTTCGACAAGGTAAGATGTCAAAAAATTCCTTATTTCATCGATATCTTTAGCGAATCTTTTTCGAAAAACATACATTATTTTGCTCACAAAAGTTTGTAAATATAATTTATTCAACAAAAATAATCTTTATTTATTATAAATTTTCAGTATCGTAATATTTATTGTTATTCATTATTCGTTCAATGCTGGCACATTTCACAGCATCAATAGTATATTTTTATTATGAAAAATTGGAAATATATTTGGTTTTAATAAAGTTAAATAAGAGAAAAATTAATTGAAAGTAAAAAAAGAACAAAAACAGAATGTTATTTTTATTAAAATTTTGAAGCAAAATTCTATTTTTTAAAGTGCAATTGTTATCTATTTTTTAAAATAAGTCATTAACAATAATTTAAATTATTAATAATAAAATCTTGGAAGATTGTATTATAATTTTTCTATAGATTTTTATACGATTTACATTTAGATAAATTTGCAACAAATTATATTCACTACTTTTATACTTTGAATTTTTTTCGCATTCATTTATATTCATAAACTTATGGGTAATAACGTAAACTAGGACGTAGCTTGCGAAAATTTGTTTAATATTTCATCGAAAAAACAATTCTATAAGGAACACTGAACAAAATTGCGAACTTTATTATGTAAATGTAAATGTAATATGCGTTCGAGAAGAGAATACTTTTAGAATAACAAAATTGTGTTTATTTATTGGTTGTAATAATTATGTCTGCCATGAAAAGTTTAATAAGACGGTTATGGATCTGAGAATGTTTTAAACGTTCGTCCGGATATGCAGTTCAATGACGGCGACCTCGAAGTGCCATTTCACATATTACAACATCCGCTTTTCGTTGCGCATCCCTTTTTGTCACGCGATACTTATACATCTTTTCAGAACATACGCTCTTTCTTCTCGGAACTTTAGCTTTACTTTCTAGTATGATTCTTTCTTTAAAAACAACCATTCGTCCATCAGAATCGAGAGACTCGTCTTAATGAAAAGATGTTTTTGGCTTTGATGTTTCGTAGGAGTTAAAACAGTTCTGTACTAATTATATATAATTTTCTTATTATTTATGTTACCTTATTGTAATATATAAAAATAGGAAACGTATTATTTCTTTTTTTTTATTATTTCTTCCTTTTTTACTATATTTGAAAATGAAATTTTCGTTGAAACAAAATTATTCGGCAAATTTGTCAGAAAATCAGCACATTTGAATTAAAATACTGCGCGCTTATCGGGAAGCCACAAAGTAAAATTTAATGGCTGGTACAAGATTGTGCTTAAGCGAGAATATGGATATCGAAAAGTCCACGATGCGGAGAGAAAGAGAGAGGAATTCCACGCACCATTTACGCTATCATTAAGGAAGAAATAGTCCATTCGGATAGATGCGCGAGAAGACTGCGGAAAGTGCAACCTCGTCCTGAATCGCTTGTAGTCAATGTAAGCGACTATACTTATGGGTGGCGGATTTCCTCCTGCGAAATCCACCGTCGTCACCGACTTTATGATAGTAGCGTAAATGGCCAACGCTGAAATAAACAGCCGGCGTATCGCGTGTAATATTTATCGCGCCCATCCGCCCATGCATGCTGCGTGGACCGAATCGTGCCATCTTGCCGTGTTTGCTCTCCGGAAACACGTCCGACGTTATGAGTTTGCCGCACTTATTGGTGTATTATACAAGGCACGATGATACAAGGGAGAGAGAGAGAGAGAGAGTAGGAACAAAATAGCATAGAATGTATCTCGTGTTTTGCGGCCGAGTCTTCCCGGAACGTTGCATGTAATGCAATATTAGACACAAATAAATTTTGCACTAAAAAGGAAATTCCAAAAAGGATATCTTATCGAAATATAACTTGAGAGAGAGGAGAAATGCGCTTTACAAGAGATCCGTGCAAAGTTTTCAATTGACGTAGGAGACTTTTGTTTCATAAAAAATGCAATAATGATTTTTTTATTCGCACGTCAATTACAGGTGAACACAAAGAAACATATGATCGAGATAACTTTAATGTCAACGAGTAAAACGTTAGGAAAAACAAGCGGTCGATCTGTCGTTTCTCTCATCGACGTTCCTTTCATTTCTATTCTACTTTGTGAAACGGGAATAATCTCTATTAAACACTAACGCGCGTAGGCAGCGATAATAGACAGTAGTAGCAGACAGCCAATATCGTCACGCTTGAAACGCCGAGTCATTAAAGTTCGCGGCTTACGGTTAACCCGCCAATAAAGCCGACAGCCGCGATTATTTTGACTATATCGGTAGCGACGTTATTGGTTCGCATTTATGCGAAACGACTTTTCCTTTAGACTAAAGGAATACCTATGGGAGGATACGACTTAGTCAGTTAACGTTATTGCGGTATCATAATATATGAAAGAAATAAAAATATGACACTCGAACGGTATAAAATATCTCACTTCTGAGACTATAAAAGAGATTAATAACTCTGCGTGTGTAATATAACGAAAAAGTCGCATGAATAAAAGCCACTCTATTATTTAAAACGAGCTTGTCAGATGCTATCGCATCACTTACGATTAGAGTTACAGTACTGAATAATCGAAGATTAGGTAAAGAGAGCGAAGAGGAAATTGCATAATTTTTTAAATTACCTTATGAAATAAAAGAGAAATAATTTACAATTAAATATATCTTTTTCCCTTTAGATTCTGGAAATAAAAAAGAATGCAGATATGTGTGTATAGCTAAAAGTGCTGCGGATCAGTAGTTTCTTCATATCGTGAATACGAGGACGTAACGAAAAAGTCACACGAAAGCCACTCTATTATTTGAAACGATCTTGTCAGATACTATCGTATCGCTTACGATTAGAATTACATAAATAGTACTGAATAATCGAAGATTAGGTAAAGAGAGCGAAGAGGAAATTGCATAATTTTTTAAATTACCTTTTGAAATAAAAGAGAAATAATTTACAATTAAATATATCGATCTTTTTCCCTTTAGATTCAGGAAATAAAAAAGAAGGCAGATATGTGTGCATAGCTAAAAGTGTTGCGGATCAGTAGTTCCTTCATGTCGTGAATACGAGGACGTAACGAAAAAGTCACACGAAAGCCACTCTATTATTTGAAACGATCTTGTCAGATACTATCGTATCGCTTACGATTAGAATTACATAAACAGTACTGAATAATCGAAGATTAGGTAAAGAGAGCGAAGAGGAAATTGCATAATTTTTTAAATTACCTTTTGAAATAAAAGAGAAATAATTTACAATTAAATATATCGATCTTTTTCCCTTTAGATTCAGGAAATAAAAAAGAAGGCAGATATGTGTGCATAGCTAAAAGTGTTGCGGATCAGTAGTTCCTTCATGTCGTGAGTACGAGGACGTTTTCTCGAAATTACCGATCCAATCGCGCGAGTTGCTTCCCAATGGAGCATAGATGTTCTCGCACGCGTACGCAGATATTTCCGCGTGTAACGGCGTCGTTGCACCGCGATACAACACCCAGGAGACCGCGACAAGGTCGCCATTAGTCGCCGCAGCATTATGCCCGTGTATTCGCTTTACGCAGATACGCTTGAACATATTGCGGAATTACGTCGATGATCAAACCGCGTCTCTGTTTCGGTGACAGCTCACACACTATATATCGCAGATACGGCACGTGACTTGATGGCTTCCGCGTATCTCGTTATTATTCGCTCTACCTTCTATTCGAAGATCTCTCAAGATAGACTCCGGCCTACCTTAGAGGAGAATTTCGAAGCGCAACGTATCCCGGGTTCTATCGATGATGTAGGACTCCCACGTGGCTCGTGGATGTTTCGAGTCCCATGACCAGATTCAGAATTAATGGCAATGAACTTTGCCATTAATTAGGAACCTTGCGGTGCTTGCTCGGAATGGCTTACGACTCACGCTCCCAGATTTTCATCTATACCGCAGTTCAGGAAGTAGAAACGCCTTATTAATGTGTGTGTGTAAAATTAACGAATCATTTCCCATGGAAAACAGGAATTATTAAGAGAAATTCTAGATTTATAGATTTGAGAAAATTTATTTTTTATAATGTATTCTATATTTAAACAAATAATTCTCTTATTTAATTTTTATTAAAAACAAAAACCGAAGAAATTATTCAGTGACAAACAGAAACACATCTCGTTTTATTTTATATATTTCATTATAGGGGACTTTTTGCATTATTTTTCGTGAAATGGAAGGAAATTATACATGTTTCCTAAAAGTCTTCTAAAAGCAAAAAATACTGATTAAAATGAAATAACGAGTAAGCGCAAGATGAAAAATATGTACAAAATCCAAAGCTCTATTTGTTAAAATTATTTCCGTATAATTCTGTGATTATCTATGCATTTTAATAATAATTCTAACGATAAAAGTATTACAATATTTTAATGAGAAATGAAAAGTAATACAGTATTACAATATTTTTAAGTATAATTTATTAAATTCTTAATAAATTCTTTTTTGAACATGAATTTAAAAGTTATTCGATTTTAAAGAGCTTTTGTTCGAAAATTCTTTAAGTTTTGACAAAAGTTAATTTGTAATAGCATTCTAAAAATTTTTAAAGTTTATAAGAGTTTTAAAAGGGTTAGGGTATATATATATACTTTAATAAAATTATTTTTTAAAATAATATTATACTTTGTATGCAAGTAAAACAAAATTTCTATAATTAAAAAATTAATATTTAAAAATTAAATTACCTATATACTTTATATATTATTGATGTACTTTTCAGGTGATGGTGGTGGATGTGGCATTACTAACAGTGATGTGATAGAATGGATGGAAAGAATCCAAAATTCCGCTTTACCGGATGAACCGCCCAAGACGGCTTCAAAAGGAAGTCAAAAGGAGCCAAAACCAAACGTCGCACCTTGGAACGGCGATCGAGAAACTCCTGGTCACAAATACAGCAGGGAAGCTAATGAACCTAGTCATCGCAGGTCACGAAGAGCGACCAGATCGAAGGAGAATAATACCTGTTCACTCTTCATACAAACAGATCCTCTTATATGGAGGCATATCTCCGAACAGGTATGCTTTTAAATGCTTTAAATGCATATATCGTAAATATCGCAAATTTATTGAAAGAATATCTTTTAAATATTTATTAGGGGTCACTTCTTTCTCTCAATATACAATCTTTTGAATATAAACTCTCTTTCAAAACTAAATATAATTTTGAAAAGTATTTCTCTCTTTGAAAATATTCTAATATAATTTACATTGCAGTCAGATACCATCATTTTTTTCATTTATAAAGCTTACATTAAACCTGAAAAAATTCGAGCAAATTTTATAAATATGAAAAATTAGCATATTTTATTAATCTTAAATTTGAAATGTATTATATTTTAAATTTCTAACTCTTTTAACGAATTTATCTCGGAATTCAAAATAAAAAAAATTTTTTTCTGCGTCTTCCTGTTTAATTTATGAAGCGATAGTTCATAACGCAAAACCAGCATTTGTAATCATGTAAAAGGATTAAAGTCAGAGATAGCAGATTGTTATAATGACCTAATTCTCGTTGGCAATTTGTAACTGGAGAATGCTCGTATCTTCTTGCACAATAGAGAAATACTTGGAATACCGACCATTCTCTTCCTATAGTCACATTCATATGCGTTTTCGTCGGCGGCACGGTCAGTGCAATTCCTCTTTGCATTTTCTCAACAAGCCAGACACCGTCCGCATTCCGAAATTCTTCATAAAAAGAATATTTTCATCCTTATGCCCTATGTCCAACTGCCTTTGATATCATCATGGCCATACGCTGCATAGTATAGTGCGTTCCATCGGACATGCAAATTTAATGACGGATTTTTGGACAAATTTTTTTAAGCTGTTTATTTTTCGCAAAAACTTCCAAAGAATTTTGCTCGCGCGCATATTTAATGTTAAAATTCAAAGATTTTTACACTTGTTAAATTTTAGCAAGTGCAAACAGCTACTGATCCTCGTTTTCACAGAGAATTTAATTTAATACTCAATTATAAGCTGTTTAATGTTGAAAATCGAAAATTTCCATAAAGTCCGTCTTAGATATGAATATATGAGGGGGGAAAAGTTTTCTCCGATGTTCTCGGAGAAAGAGATAGAATAATTTCAGAGTTTCGTCACAGATATTGAACTTGTGTTCGTCTTCGTAGTTGCATCACGACGTGGAGAAAACTAGAGAGGAAATATTGTCCTTGATCGCTCACCACGTCACCGCCGTGAATTACATCTACAGGGACACGAAATTCGATGGAAGGACAGAGCATAGGAACATCAAGTTTGAGGTTCAACGAATAAAGGTAACAATATCGCGTGTCGAAAATAGTACCAATCTCTCGGTGAGCATTCTCTCGTATGACTGACATTTACTATATCTGATATCAGATCGATGACGAGACGGCGTGTACGCCTCAAGCGCCATTCAGCGAACCAAATCCGTTCTGCTTGGAGAACATCGACGTCAGTAACTTCTTGAACCTGCATTCCCTTTCGAATCACGAGGACTTCTGTCTCGCCTACGTCTTCACTTACAGGTGAATGAATAATAGAATAATATCACACTGTGTCTGCTTACTGTGACTGGTTCCCAAACGTTATTTCATGCTTTGTCAACAGGGACTTCACCGGAGGCACCCTTGGACTCGCTTGGGTTGCATCCGCGTCAGGCGCGTCCGGTGGTATTTGCGAAAAGTTCAAGACTTATACCGAAACGGTGTCCGGCCTGTATCAGTCCACTAAGAGATCCCTGAACACCGGCATCATAACTTTCGTGAATTACAACAGCCGAGTGCCGCCCAAGGTATCACAACTGACTTTGGCGCATGAGATAGGCCATAACTTCGGATCACCGGTAAGCAAAAAAAAAACATTGTTTTTCTGCCACGTGCGATAATCTGTTCGAGAATGATGGAACACGCAGAGATAACGATCACCTTTTTTTTCTAGCATGATTTTCCGCCGGAATGCAGACCGGGAGGCTTGGACGGTAATTATATTATGTTCGCCTCAGCGACGAGCGGAAATCGACCGAACAACAGCAAGTTTTCAAAGTGCAGCATTGGCAATATCAGCAACGTCCTAGATGCTATCGAGGATAATAAAAAGAGGAACTGTTTCACTGGTATTTTTATCTTAGATTTTCCCTCATTCTATAGCGTAGAAATAGAAATAGATGTAAATTTTTATTCTGAAAAATTTGTATTTAAATAAAGTATTACAATAAAATTTATTACATTTTTATCTACAGGGGCATTTTGCGGAAACAAGATTGTTGAGGCTGGCGAGGAGTGCGATTGTGGATACGATGACAACGAATGTGTCGACAAGTGCTGCTATCCTAGACAGGTGTCCGAAACGGATAAAGTGAAGAATGATACGGCGAAAGGTTGCAATAGGAAATATGGAACACAATGCAGGTATGTGTAGAAGCAAAACTCGATGATCTTGTCAGGATCGGATATGATTTATCACGTCTGATATTTCTTTCAATCACATATTTCTCACGATTATTTATGTATTTACAGTCCTAGTCAAGGACCATGCTGTTCGAGCGATACGTGCCAGTTTGTTCCCTTCTCCCATAGAGTCCAGTGTAGAGCTGAATCGGACTGTAGTTACAATTCTACTTGTAGTGGAAGATCATCCGAATGTCCAGCACCGCTACCGAAAGCAAATAAGACTAGATGCAACGAGGGCACTCAAGTAAATTCGTTACTTTTATTTCACATATATTTTAACGATTATCGATATTTTTTGCTTCAACGATACATTATTTACAGTTGTGCATCAATGGAGAGTGCACCGGATCCATTTGTCTAGAGTGGAATATGACAGAATGCTTTTTAACGAGCAGTATTATACCGAACATCGATAAGCGAAAGCTTTGTGAATTAGCCTGTCAAAATGGCACTGATACATCAACATGTCGCGGTACGAGCGAATTTGCGCACATGGTAGGACTGCCCGAGGGTGGTATGAGTCTTCGACCTGGTTCACCTTGCGACAATTTTCAAGTAAATTATTAAATTAAATTTAATATTATTTAATAATTGTGTAAAAAAATATGCATGCATTATTAAACATTTTATTTAAAGAATAAAACAATCACTTTTGTTTTTTATTTAGGGTTACTGCGATGTTTTCTTGAAATGTCGAGCTGTCGATACTGAAGGACCTCTTGCAAGATTGAAAAATTTATTGTTCAACAAAGAAACTTTATCATCGGTAGCACAATGGATAACTGTAAGTGCAGATGGATATTTTGCCTATCTATTTATTTTATTGATTTACAATTTTTTATTGTCGCTTATCTTATCTCTTTCTAGGAATTTTGGTGGGCGGTGCTATTGATGGGCATAGGTTTCATCATATTTATGGGATTGTTTATCAAGTGTTGTGCTGTGCATATTCCTTCCACTAATCCTAAAAAACCGCCTGCGAGGCGCATCAGTGATACCTTAACAAGACCGATGAATACTCTTAGAAGGATGGTAAAATAATACATAGAAGTTATATTACAAAACTTTTTCTATATTAAAATTTAAATTAAAGATTATTTAAAAAATAATTACAATACTATTACTGCATATTTTATTACTTGTCATACTTACAGCGACATCCATACGGTGCAGGAGGGCCTGGGCCAAGAAGTATACCCCCAAGACCAAGTCAAGGTGGACACGGAACACGTGGACCTTCTCATGGTTATGGAGAGGGTAGAGGTGCTCAATATTATCCGAAAGGTGTGTTAGTATATTAAAACATCTACGTATTTCTCGTTGCTTGAGTTTAATTCGTGTGCTTAAGCATCAATCAAACATGCATACTTTGACATTAATGTGAAAGAAAGGATTGCTAATATGGATTAAACCCAAGTAAACGTTGTTCGCGTCTTCTCGTTCTTGTGTGACCCGCAACTACATCAATGTCTTTTCCTGTTTGCATCTCCCTCGCATTGATTGACGCGCATCACTACTATCGTTCTATGACCTGCAGAGGTGAGCTGGGGCCTATATTCTATATGCTTGACAGGAGCAAATATGTGAATATATTATTTCTATATAACGTAAAACTTACACATTTATTTTATGACATATAATAAAAGAGAGCTTATATTTTTTTCTTCCCCTCTATGAGAAATTCTTGTATTTGCTCCTAGCTCATTGTTCATGGCATTGCACTGGATGCTAGCTGAAATACTTTTTTCTTTCCTATTTCATATAGGAGCCGAACTCTTTCCTTCTCATTTTACATCTCGCCATCATTTTGTTGATCTTAAATTATTATTTTCCGAATGGCATTATAGTTAGAAAGAGAGAAACAGTACACCAAGAATACACAAAAAGCATGGAGATCGCGGCAACTGTTACTCTCCCTATACTGTCATATTTTATTAACTTAATATACAATATATTGGCAGTATAACCCTTTCTATTTTCGCATATTTGACGTTACTTTTTATTACGCGTTTCATTTCATTGCCGAACATTTTTCTAAACTTTAAGCAGGCTATCGCTCGGTTCCCACAGCTAGTGCGCCACCAAATAGCGGGTCAGCAGACAACTACAACCGTTCCAATCACCCAGAGTTGTACGCCGGCGCCTATTCGAGCTCCGGGGGAGGGGGGAGGGGCGCAGCCTATGAGATGAGGCATCACAACAAGGTGTGACGATCCTAGGACGTCGTCACGGACTAGGGCCACCAGTCGCGGCGTTGCATCACGGGTCGTTGTGTGAAACGATTGCCAAACACGAAGGAAATCGATCCATGTCATATAAGCTGTTCAACGCTCAAGGAGCGCGACGATGTCTCATAACCGAGGTCGAAGCAATAATGACGAGATATGCAGCGCGATAATATCGCACGATGATCGAACAGATTGAGAGGTCCGACGATACGCGCTTTTATTTAAATTGTGTTGAATTCATATAAAGTGCAAAAGTGCCGTACGTTACTAGATGCGTTGTAGATACGAAGAAAGTACACGTCGGTGATCAAATTGATCTCTCATTTTCATCAGTTCGGTAGATGTGATTTTTCTGCAGAGACTAATGCTGCGAACGGCGACCCGGAAGATCAAATTAACAAAAGTTACGATAATAAAGTAACGGAGTATATATCCGAAATCATGAGTACTGAGAATTTTATATATGTAATCTTTTTTATGTAGTATCATCAATATACACGCGGATCTTTCGCGTCGCCATTCAAAGAACTCGTCGCATGATCAAATTTTAGAACGCTTCGGACAGCCTTCGTCAATGCGAAGGTGACATTGTTATATGATCAAAGTAATTTAAATCGATGCAACTTGTGATTCATTTATCGCTTTAGCGATCGACGTTGTATTCGCACAGCGACGAACGCGGCGATGTTAAAACGCGTCGTATTTTCGCCCTTCGAACATTACAAGCACTTAAGGCCAAGGTTGTATGGTCTTTATGTGACGGCGTCCTTCACGAGATGTCGATACTCGTGCATGTCGCTCTCGAAAGTTAAGTTAAGAGATCTGTGATCTATGATTGAGATCTCTATTCGTTTGTTAGAGATTAGATACATGTTTAGCGGGGAATTGGCAATAAGACAATACGTCCTTTGGTGTAAGCGGTATATATATAAATGAGTTTTCCAAAGGCAAATGTTTTATTCGCATTTCGTTTATTTTGATGAATATAGCGAGCTAAAAAGTGTTTTTTATTCAGATTGAAGTTTTATTATGAATAAAGCGAATATGTAATCTAACTTTAAAATTCGATACAGATCATAATATTATTTGATCAAGAGAAAAAAAAACTGTTGTAGACTAAAATTCAACAACATTTTCAATTTTTTCTTGATCAGATAATATTATGATCTATTATCTACATATTCTATCTGTATTTTTATTATATCTGCAATTTTAAGGAACCTAAAAAGTTTCATATTATAAATGACTTTCTGGAGCGAAATGACACCTTACCATTACCAAACCATCACAGGTCATTCACATGATCTCTGTACCATTGTAGCATAATAATTAACGGTATGTATTATTCTTATACTAATTTGTATTAGCCAATTGGAGAATGAATGGAGCTATGCAAGATTATGGAAGGAGATATAAGAGCAGCAACACAAAATAATGCGTTTCTGTAGCAAGGTATTCCATTAACTATTATATATATGAACAAAAAAATGATATTGATTATTATTAGGCTATGCTAATTATTACTATTATTATTAATTAGTTATATCTTGCAGATGATAATTTATCTCCGCCTATTGCGAATGTTATAAGTTATATTTAATTAAAAACAAGTTTTTTAATATCTATGTATTAAGTCGGGGGCTGCACCGTAAACGCGCGATTATGCGTATAGCGGACCAAAGACGAGCCCTCTTACCGAAACGCAGCGTGTTATATTATACAATATATTATATATATATATACATAGGCTCTCACACGTACACAGCTGCATACTCGTAAACGAGAAACACGAGATCGGTTCTCATTCTCGAGGTGAATCGTATCTGGTGCTGTTGAACTGCTTGTCGATACGATTAATGCACTCCCCTCTTCTCCAAAACGCCAAATCTAACAATGAAACGACTGAGTTCTTTTTCATATATCTCTTATCGACGCCTATTTAATGCAAACGTGTCCGATCCTATTTAGATTATATTATCCTGTTTAGATATATAATTTATAGCGAATAATATTGAAGGCATATTATTATATGCATAAAAAGCGTATTCAAATTATCGATAACAAATCAGAAGATTTAATGATTGATCTGATTTCAAAATAGCATATGTTTAATCAGAAAAAAGCTGATTGAACATGTATTATTTATTGTTAGAAATCAAATTTATCATTTTTCCAATCTCAGTTTTTATAATTGTTATTTGTATTACTTATATACTTTCTCCTTTTAATCATACTTTCAACATTCTGTACTTGAAGAAATGCATTTTTTTTTAAATGTGAGATTATAAAAAAGATCAACTTCATTTTTCATCAATCTTTTAATCATTGCATATAATTATATTTATATATAGTAGAACGTTTTAATATTTTAAAGTGCAGCGCAGATAAATAGTATTACTATACAGTCACAGTAACTATACATCATTTCTGTTATTTTAAAATCATAACAATTATTTGGAAATTTTGCATTAATCTTTATTTTTCAGTCACGTAGAAATTTGTAGAGCATAAAAAACAGAAAGTTAATGATATTCTTAAATATCAATTGGTGTAATGAATATATATCTCTATGTCTATCCACAATTGGGTCACAACTCTCTGCGTTGTAATTTTAAGACTGTGTTTTAACTAGGCAAAAAGATGAATATAGGGATGCAAGATTATAAAATAGGGGAAGAGGTGCCAGAAAAGACACTATAATACGAGTTTGCGGATCGTGTGAAAATGTACAATAGACGCAATGTGATTATTATGATGGATCATATGGGAGTCTTGCGAAAAAAGGAGCAAACGAGAGAAAATACTAGAAAATGGAATGGAAAGTAAATGTTCTTTGGGCGTGAAAGAAGAAATATGAGTGAGAGAACGTGAGAAAGTGATCGCGAGAAGTGTGTATATCTGTATATAAATATATACCGCGCGATTATAAAATGATTATATAACAAATGGTAACGCGAATACAAAAAATACTTGTTTTTATATCAGATCTGTATTATAGCGGAATATTATTCTGTATTTTGTAATCAGGACGGAAGTTAGGGATGAGACGAACGAGTGTCTGTACATGCGTGTAATCGAGCCTTTAGGTTTTAAGTATAAGTTTCTGTGACGATCTATCGTGGACCGGAGAAATCGGTCAACGTTATTTAGGAGAAGTTTCGAGATTTCTTGCGTATAGGCAAGTAATTCCGTTTGACCCCATTCGTAATCGCTCGTGATATCATTGAACGATTTTAGTCTGTTTCGATGCAAGCAACAATCCATGACAATTCATGGATGAGATTTACTGCCATTGAACGTAACGAGGCATGACTCAATTAATTTTAATGCGTTATATATTACACGTTATATATCACATTAGAAATGCTTTTTGAAAATAAATGTTAGTTGTCTTCTTAATGTACAATAATGATATTAACGAATATTTTAGAAAATTCCGTCGGATAAAGAAGACTTTTTATACGTCCTTTTTTAAATTTTATTTTACGCAATGTCGTTCATAGAGTCATCGGAAACTTCTAGGCAATCACTTCGTTCCAAGCCACTGCCATTTGATGAGCAATCTCGAGGTAGTTAGAAATTGCTTTTGGAATGAATTGATGTCTCTGATGTCGAACAATGATGCGTAAACTACTTTTGCTTCCATTTCACTGCCATTACTATTTCGAACGACTGAACGCCATGATCAAAAAGATCGCAGTTACAAAGTTCGCCTACGCGACATAACGAATATCGAGAAAGAAGACAGAATAGATAGCAATGCCTCGTTACGTCTCGCTAAAAGCCTAAGAAACGGGCGTGGAATGGGATCAAGGCGTAGTTATTGTAGTTGACAATGAAGTCGCTTATGCGTACGAGAGGAGAGTATAAGATAAGAATAAATTTTCCTTCATCATTTGTTCCAGACTTCTAAATACATATACAGCTTAAGCTTATTCGTTTCCGCGGCGTCTGGATTAAGATGCGATTTTTTAATTCTCACATGGTCATGAATTTCCTCATCTCACAGTTAATTGCAATAGTGCAACATGTACGTCAAGTCGCTATATATGTACATCACATCGATACCGATAATGACCGAACGAAATCTTTCAAGACTACTGACAATGAGACTTAGGTATCTATCTTAATCCAGAGTTGCATTACTGTGACGCGATGCACACACACACACTACTCTATCACTTGTACATAATATTAGAGAGGGAAGAACAAAAAAAAAAAGAACAAATCGAGATTATATTTTTTCTATCAATCCAAAAACGTGGTGACCTATCAACGTCGTGCATCCAGGATTATTTAAGCGTAACTTCGTATGCCCTTTGTATCGATCACTTCGCGAATGATTGTTTTCTGAGATACTTTTTTTCTGTTTTTTTTTTTTTTTATTCGAAAGCGTTACTTGGATATCACCAAACACCAAGTGACCCTTACATTCGTGCCGTACATTTACTTTTAATCAGTGCAACTTTGAGTGATGTGTGTTCTTGAGGTGTATCTCTTTATTGTAAATTATTATAACTGAGCATGATACTGACCAATCGCGCCTGAACGTAGCTTCAGACTCTCTTTTCCCAAAATGTCTAGAATGCGGCGAGTGTTTTAAGAATATTATAAATAAAAGAATTATGATTGTGAATATCTCTTGTGTTACGTTAATGTGATTAAAAGAGACAAAAACAATGTAAAAAACTAAATAAAGCATACATTTTACATTTATCCACTGTGTCTAATTTTTGAAGCAAAGCGAACTTTATCTTAAAGATAAGTGACGAGTCATGTTTTATACACATAATTTCTTTATTATATAAACTATTGTAAAAGTTACAATTGTACATTAAAAAGTCGTAGTGGGTAAGTGTGATGATACCTATGTGATATATGAATATCGCGATCTTTAGCCTGAAATCGATGGGAGCTTACATTCTGCATTCCCATGGAATAAAAATTCTTTTACATAAACTATAATACTTGACTGTAAAATTTAAGATATGCAGTTATGCACTAACAAATATTTTAAATTGGACGTCAAATTATAGAGAATACTATATATTAAAAAATGCATTTCGAATGTTACGAAAGTCTGTGAATCTCGACAAAATTGTACATCGATTAACTTTCCTCGATAAAGATTCTTTCAATATAAATCTAGAATTCAGCTACATAAAATTTGTGTAAACACATCTCAATTATACGAATCAATATACGCGATTTTTTGCAAGCAACGTAAAAAAATCGCTAATATATATATTACGATGTCGCAAGCTTGTGACATTTATTAAAATGTCGAGGAGTGTAATCGATTAATATTATCAATCCTCGAATAATCGTAACATTCTCCACTCTTTCGTGCTTTCGGTGACATAAGCTTGTACTTTTTTCATCAACGCTAGCCATAAAACTAGCATCATTCAGGAAATTATCGTTTAGCTAAATGATATAAATAGCAAATTCTTTATGATTGCCTCCGATGGTACAAGTATGGACGTAAAAAAGTGGCCCTGAGTGGCAAGTTGGAAATGCAGCACCCTTTCTCTCTCGCAGCTTCGTTGAATTCATAGTTGCGAATGCTCGAGCTTGTATACGTCATGATATGCGTTGCGTATCAGTGCATATGGAAAGCAGCTCTCCAATAAGTCCATCGTTAAAAATGGAGATTCTTGAACTATTTGATCCAATAAAAGATAGACGGACTCTCTGTTTCGAGTTGCTTCTTTGTCTGCTTCTTGGCCTAATCTCAACAAACTGGATGAGGCTAAAGCAAGGAACTCCTTCATTCTATCCTCTATGTCATTCTGCCCACAAATTGTAAATAATGCTCCGAATATATTATTTATCGCGGTCGCCATACAGTGTATATTGTTGGAATGGCCCTCGAACGATGCTCTATAGAAGGAATTATCATTTCGTGCCAATTTCGGGATGGAAACCGCTACGAAGACCATTAGTAGACAAACGAGCAAATGTTCGTCCTCGTCGACTTCTGCTTTTTGATTTCTCAGCGCGGTCGTCAAGGTAGGATCAACCTTGCAGGTCAAGCCTGCAGCTGATGTCATCTCAGAAACAACGCGCATGGGATCGCCGGACGGCAAATGATGTCTAAAATCCAATATGGAGCTCAGCAAAAACGGTATGCGTTCCTCCAGCACGTCAACCAGTGCCGACTGCGATAATTGCCGGAAACTCAGAATCACACCTATTATAGTAACTCGCTGAAGAACATTGTCTACGTGTTGCAGCTTTTTAAATTGCTCTTTCATCACTTCTGGCTTGTCAAAATTCGTTCTCAGAGAAATCAATACGTCTTTATTGCCCGCCACCAATTTCTTCAACTGTTGTACCTGACTGGCGATGTGCCACATCAAGTTCTCGTTCAACATCTTCATACCATACGGTCCAATCAATTCGGCCAACGCTCTGAGCTCATTAATATCGGAGAACTCCTCAGCATTAAATGGAATGGCACCTTCTACTGACAAGCTGACAAACGCTCGTTGATTCGTGGAATAACAAATATTGCCGGCACTAACTCGCCTCAATAAAACGTCCGAATACCATTGCGTATAGAGCGCAGCTATGGTTTTGTCACCATGACTATCCAGCTCTTGAGTTTGCTGGAGTAAGGCGTTATTGAAGACACGCGTAATATCTATGTGAACATAATTTTCGATAGTCTGAAGAACATTCATGTAAGATCTAACACTGACAAAAAGTTCGGATGGTTTGGCTATCTCGCTGGTGTCTGGATTATACATGACCATTCCTACCAATGCTCTAGCAAATCGCGACTCCAGATGTTGATGCAAATATTCCCTCGGTGCAAAAGTATACTCCCAGACGTTGATAGTAGGGCAATAATTGATGGCATAACATAATTCAGTAAGAGCCATATGCAGCTTATCCATCGTTGTTAATTCCTCCCGTGTCTTCCGATAGCTCTCTATACCGGGTTTATGAATCTCGTACATGTTTTTCTTATTCTTGTCTTTCTTCTTACGATTAACAACTTGTGAGATTAACAGAGCACAGTGTTTCGGTAGTAATTTATCGCTCATATTACACTGCTCATCGCAAATAGTTGTGATAATATTTTTAGCTTCTTTGGCCATCTCATCCAGGAACATATTAACGACGGAGAGGCTTCTCTCCCGAATGTGATGACGCTCCTCTGGACAGAGCTCGTGAGTGCAACTCTGGAAGTGGCTGCATATGAGTGGGAAGGCGACAATGTATCGATTCTGAGCAGGAAACTCGAGACACATGTGGAATTGATCTTCAAATATCTTGCTGTAAAAACAAAAGATGGATAAATCGGACGTCTCGACTAACATCTCATCTAAATTGTCGACCATTTTCGTATGGAAGATTACTGTATCCATAAAGGAAGCTAACTCTCTATTATCAGCCAGATTCATATTGCACTTTGCGATAGACATATAGGCCTGCAGCCTAACCCAATCCAGCCGGAAGGCACGGAAATCAAATAATTCATTGTCTTCGACTTGTTTTACAGTCAAACTAGCTATAGTTGAACACATATCACTAAGAATAGCTCCTTCGTCTTCAGGACAAACTGGAAGATTTTGTATCATCTGATGCAAAGCAGGAGCATCGAATCCCGAAAGAAATTGGACATAATACCTTTGAAGCACCTGAGAATATTTCTTTACTAATGCTCGTAGTTCTTCGCAATGGAAAAGCAATTCTGGCAACTGACGGTCCACCAAATCCTCGCTACCTCGTCCTTTCCCTTTGCCTTGAATAGGGGGATTATCTCCGTGTCTCAGTAGCCACAGTACCTCGTCTCTTGCATGAGAAAGCCCCATTAAAACCAGTAATGCCTTTGGGCCCAGAAGACCAGGCTGGTCGGTTAGAATCAAACCTAGTTCCTTTAGAGCAGTCCTTAAGAATTTTCTTCTTTCCCTATGCCTGTAACCAGCTTTTTGTACCGCTTGATTATAACATTCTTTTACTTCTGAAACTCTTTTACTATATCCTTTCATACCTTCGAAGAATGTTTGGATGTACTGATGTATATAAATTACCTCGTCTCTAAATAATGCCAGCACCCAACCAGATTCTAAAGCAGTGATCCACAGTTTGCTTGGTTGTTCCTGATTCAAGAATGTATGACAAAGTGTAAATCCAAGAATCACCCATCTTTCTATTCTATCCAAGCTCAATGTTTCGCACGACATAGTGTCTGTTGCCGCTGCTTTCAAAATCTGGCCTGGACTACCAACAAGACTCAATTTTTGATCAGCTCTCCATGTGTCAGCAGACAAGTTTCTACCAGGATATACTGGCCACAATGAAGTCAGGGCATTCTTCAATAATTTAGAGTGCGGTACAAATTCTTCTGAAAGTTTCTTCAGTGGAGCGTCGTAATCCATAATCATCTGTCCTAAGCGAGGAAAACTGGGATCTGATTGACTATGCACCATCTCGTGAGCCGCATTGAACAATCCTAGCACCGCTTTACGATCTTCAACTCTCGATAGAAGAATCATCAAACTGATATAAGTGACTACAAGATCTAAATATCCTTTGGTCAAATCAAAATTAATCGTAATATCCATATGAACACCGCATGCATCCATAGTAGTCAAAAGCTCACACACATTATCTTTAAAATCTAATAGATCCACGAATGTATAATAATACAATGACAGGGATTTGATAATCTCATTACGAATGTTCGTAATAGTCTGCAGTCCTTTTACATCGATGTTAGGAAACTTTCTGACGATCGCTTTGATGGAAGACTCCAATGCCTTGTCGGAGAGGAAGGCAGGCTTCGATTTGGCATCACCACACGCTTTTTTAATATTATAAATGCGTGTCAACATACCAATCCCTCTATCGTTCAAAATAGTCAGCTTCTCGGCCAGCTTTTGCTGGCTCGGCACGATGGGTCGAGCCATGACCACGTTATTTAATTGCCTCTCACGCGATTGACATTACTGGTCAATTACTTGCTTGCAATAAATGACAGCGATTATTCGACCCCACCCCTGGGGAAGGTAATCTATTCCACCGGATGCGCTTCTGGTTTCCTGCAAGGAGAAACGAAGCTCATTTTCTCACCTTGACTTATCTATCTTGACTGTATGTGTACTCACCTGTCACCGCGATTACATTGTTGTATGCATAATAATCATCGCGTAATAATAGATAGGCCGAATTAACTCTGTATATCGCGCTTCTCAGCACGGCGCGTACCGCGTGAAGTACGTCGCTATCGGCGATGCAGTGCTGCCAACCATGTGAGCGTGAATCTCCAGTGTCGAGCAGGCTGGGCGATAGCGGCACAGTCGATCGGTTTAAAATCGCGGAAGTGGTTGCTCGTCGCGTTGTGCGCGGTCAATTTTGCTCGTTCGTAGTGTGTGCAGATGTACTTTTGTGTTGTAAATTGCAGTTTCGGATGATGGTTTGGCCAGCAAATCAAGTCATTGTTGCAGATAACGTAAGTCGACTTTTATTTTTGCATATTTGCATGTTGTTTTACGGAGAGCTAAATCCTCCCCCCTCTCCCCCTCCCTCCCTCAAAGTAAAATACAGCAAGTGCAATTGTATTTTGGTGTTTTCTTTTTATCTAATATATATTATATATAACAACAATTATATAACAACAAGTAACAAGTATATGTGTACAAGTATATATGTCAGAGATGATTTTTTTAAACAAATAGATCAATTTTCCATAACGGTAAAATGTGTAATTTGTAATAGTGATGGCTCCCTCTACCAAAATAACATTGCACTTGATTTTTTTACCACCAGAGGCAATTTATCGACAGACAATCATACAAGAATTTTTTATGTGTATGACAAGTGTTTCTCTCTTTCAATTCAAAATTTATAAATAAAATAAAATTATAAATTTATAATATATTTTATGTTATACTTTTATGAATACTAATATTTAAGAAAATGGTATTTCCTTGAAAATTTATATAAAATAAAATTATGTAAAATAGAATAATTATTTCAAAATAGTGGTTTTCAGTCTCTTTCAAAAAGAAAAAAAAAGCAAAGCGAAAAAGGTGGTAAAAAAATTGAAAAATATATTTTATTGCATTATTTATTTTATAATAAATAATATATAAACGATATAATAAACATATAGAGAATTTAATATTACTTGTCGACGTGTATGAAATAGCATTTGCGGAATTTTAAAGAGAGTAAATTTACATAATAAACATATTCTCATAATCTTGTGCAAGGAACTGGAAAAACTACAAGGAAAATGATTTGTAACATTCGCATCAGTATAAACTTATACATAACAAGCGCACAAAAATAATATAACGCGTTATACGTACAATTTCTGAAAATCTAAAGTTAAAAACCACTTCTTTACTATACTTGGCGAAATGATTGATAGTCTAGTGTACATAACTTGGTATTTGCAGACAATATATCACTCGCGTTCGCGAAACATACACAGTATAGAATATTTCGTAGATAGTGCAGTTGGCGAGCGAGTAACTCGGGACTGAGATCAGTCATACGTCAGGGAAATGAGGCAAAAAGAGTCGGACAAAAAGGCTTCCAGTATCTGGATATATGATAATGGATATAATCCTTCGATATCTTATCTTTTATGAGTGTTATTCGTTTATGAGCGCTTTTGGATACCGTTCAATTCTCCTCTCGTCCTTTCTTCCACGTCCGCGGCGGCGGCAGCCGAACCCTCCTCGTGGGTGGCATGAACGGGCCCCTTCCCTTATTGGCTCGGTTTTACTACTTTCCCATTTTTCATTAGCACAATCAAACCGGCCGTACGCGGAGAAACAATGGCTTCTTGCCGGTCTTCGACGTGGGCGTTCCTTCGCGGGGAAAAAAGCGTATAGATTATCGACCGATAGAGATGGGCTTGGCCGTTGTGTTTGCCTTCTCGTTCGCTTTTCTCGGACGCGAATTGAAAGAGAAAGAGAGAAAGAGAGAGCGAGTGAGATAAAACAATTTGTAACTTGTCTGTCTTTCTCTCTTTCTCCCTCTCTCTCTCTCTTTCTCTCGGAATGTAGTGAGCGCGAATCGCTTCTGTTGACTGCGAATCCGTAATTGTTTCCTGCTCGGAGGAGGCCAGGTGGAATGACTAACGACCAATTTCCTTCGGCAGGCGAGTCATTCCCCGGTATGATCGATCCGATTATCGCTCGGCGTGTTCGTCCTCGCAATTTCGAGCCGCGTACATCACGGTTCCCTCGGGTCTTCGCAAATCGCTCGTCGTGGCTCGACGACGATTCTCTCATACATTCTTGAAAAAAATGTCCGCGCATAATCGCAGGATTTTATGGAGCTTTTACAAGATTAATCAAGATTTCATATTTCGAACATTTTTTTAACAAGGATTAAAATGGAGCAATGTAACGTATTACGTGGTTTAACTTGCCGAGTGATATCATATTGAGCTCGGGCTATTTTAACACGATATATGAAAGATGAGATGAAAAAGCTATATTATTAAATATCTATCTCTTACTTTACAGAGTCATAAAAATATATCAGATATATTTCTCTCAAATTAAATCTATGTAATACATATGACATATAAGAAAGATTTAAATTATCTTTTAAAAAGTTTTCTACAGGAAATGTCACGAATATCGGGAATATCTAAAACGATATTATATAAATAAATTATATTAAAATACGTTCGTTAATATAGACTTCATACATCGAAAATGTCCAACGATGACGTTTTCTAACAACGTATCTAGGATAACGTGGGAGGCAATCGGGGCGGCTTTAATTATCTCGCGGGCTCCTAACGTGCAATTAATTCCGAATGCGGTTTAGTTTAGCGAACGAAGAGCAAACAATGTATTATCTCCTAGGCCGTCTAAACGTAGATGGTTACCGCGGAATCGAGGAGGGAAGGATGGTTAGGAGGCAATGGGGATAGATTAGGCCACTTTACGCAAATAGCATGGATCCTGCAGATAGCGTATACTTCCCGCACGTACCCTTCTCTTCCACCTCTGCCTCCCCCTTCCCCCGTCCCGTTTACTCGTCTTTCCTCTCGTACCCTTCGAGTTCTCCATCCTATCGCCTCCTCCAACGCGAGGTTAATGCTCTGTGAATTTGTGATTGTCTTTAATGTAAGCTCGCGATTTCAGCGAAAGCATACTTGGCTGTTTTAAAATCGACGATTCGATTTCACGATTTATTCTTAAAGCGCGTAATTCGCGGCATTTACGCGGCGTACGTAAATAGCTCATTATTTATCTTGGTTTCAATCAACAACGTAATTGAAATTTAATCAGACTTCGAGGGAAATAACGCCTCGGTTTTTCTCGCAAATGAATTACTGATAAAAAAAGCATCGAGTGTTGCGCGGAGATTCATGTTTGCGCTTCAAATGCGAAAATAACGAGTTTTTATTTAACCGCAACTTGACCGCTTGTCACGATCATCAAAGTTTATTCGTACGATAGAGAGAATGGAGATCTCTTCGCAAGGTTTTTGTATACGTGGTGAAAATTCGATATGCGAAAATGAGTTGTTTTTTTTTTTCAAATGGAGACACGAACAGAAGAATGCAACCGCGGTGGAAGGAAGCTAGATGTAATTAATTCTGTCAATGTAGTACAAATCAATAGCATATGCATGTATATTGGATACATACTATTGATGTACATGTATTTGTATATTATATGCTGTTATGTATCATATGCAAGCGATACCTATATTATATGTATATATACAATAATAATAATATTGAATATCGAGATTGAAGGTGGCAATTAATATTTAAAAATATATAAATATTAAAATATCTTTTCCTGTGTATAATAATAATCAAAAATTAATATAATCAATATCAATAATTTGAAAAAGTTTGTATATAAAATTTGTTTATAATTAACAAAAGTAAATATCGCTGAAAAATTATAGATATATTTAATTACTTTATAATTATAGACATTTATAATTACAAATAAATTTTTTATGGAAGCTTAAAATTTAAGGTTTTTTAAATAATTATTTTAATAATTCTGAAATGGATATGTATATTATAAAGATGACGTTATTAAACATTACAATTTATAAAGATTTTACGAAATTTTATTTCTATATATAAACTTCCATACAAAATTCATTATTATACAAAATATTGAAATCTTTGAATAACGAATGCAACTTTCTTAGTTTCCATTCTTCAAGCTCATGTTTTATGTAAGCTTATGCCATTATATTTAATCGTTTTGCCTTATTAAATTAAAAGAATATATTCAATATAAATTCTATAGATAAATTGAAAATTTTCAGAATAAGAAAAATTCAATAAATGTGACAAAGAATTGCAGATACAGCGTAATTTGGCAAATATATCTCTGTCTGTGTATATGCATGCGAAATATTAGACTCAAAATACAAAATTGCTAAAAAAATAGGCAAAAATGCATTGATAGATTCAAAAAAAGAATAGAAAGAAGAGAAACATGTCCACTAAACTTACTAAAGAGAGAGAGAGAGAGAGGGAGGGAGAGACTAAGGGAAAAAGAGGGAGAGAGAGAGAGAGACAAAAAGGATGAAAGGAGACGAGAAGAGTAGTTCGCGCGAAGCGAATGACTGTGATTCGTCCAATTATCGGTTGGCACCAAAAGTGCTGGGTCTGGCTCGCCTGCCAAATGGGAAATAGCCGGCGAACTGCAGAGGCAAGCTATAGCCATGGACCTACGGGCTCTGCGCGCAAACTGTGTAGATCCTCTTCCCTCCTCTCTCCCGCCCTCCCCCCGTCCCTTCATCTCTCTCCGATCCTACCTTCGTTATAATATGAACTTCCATGGTACGGAAGCTACCGGACGATGTAAACGGCAATCGCCGAAAGATAATTTCACCCCGTAGGATTCGACGATTTTCTGTCGGGATGACTTGGTGAAAGCTCGTGCGTTCGCAAACGGAAACCCGAAGGAATTGTAAAAATCCAATTGGAATTAGGACGTCGCGCAGCGAGCGCTATCGGTTTCTCAAATTGCGTTTGAATATTCGTGTAACGCGACGGAATAGCGGTTACTAAAAAAAAAAAATCGAGAAGCCATATCGATAATCGATATACGAAGCTAATCAATTTTGGCTGACTCGATATTACCAGTATTATTCATATATTCCAGTACTATTCGGAGCAACGTGAATAGATGATATAGCACATAGCTGGCGTGTCATTCGTAAAAAAAAATCACGCTTCATGAACTGTAGCGATACCAAAATAGAATGGTTAATGTTTT